AAGAAGTTCTTTTTTCTTTTTCTTTTTTTTTTGGGGGGGGAGGTTTTTGCTATCGGGCGCATGCACTTGCCAGAAAGACAGAGAGACAGAGAGACAGAAAGCGAGAAATCACCCCCCAGGGGGATGGCCACGCCGCAATCTCTTCTCCATTCTCCTCTCGGAATCTTGGGCACGCACGCACACGCACCCGGCGTGAGTTTAAGCCACCGGGTCCGGGACTCGAACTGCAGTCTACTACATGGGAATCCAGCAACATAGCTATTACGCCAACTGCTGGTCCCTAAAATAATTATTTTATTTAACTTTATTTATTTAAATTTGACCAGAGAGGGACAGAGCGAGAGAGAAAAGGAAAGTGAGAAAGCAAGCCGCCAGGTCTGGGACTCAAAGCGCGGTTGACCATGTGGGAGTCCTTAGCCGCCGCGCCCCCTGTTGGCCCCACAGAAACCTTTTTGATGGGCACTCAAAATCCAGACAGACATTCCCGTGGGAAAGTTACACAGGGGCTCACCGCCGGGCTTTGTGAGGAGAATCAGAGCAGGAGTCACCTCGCCTTCTCAGCCACAGCAACGCCCATCCTGGAACGCTCACAGGGAAGTCAGGGCAGGACGCCGGCTCACTGGAGGGTGCATCTGTGAAAGCCCCGGCACACGGAGGTCTCAGGGAGGACACAGCCATGTTAACAGGGCTGCCCCGGGGTGGTGGATGCTGGTAGACTTTTCTTTTTAATAATTAATTCATATTTTATTTCATTTGCCCAGCGAGAGACAGAGAGAGTGACAGGGAAAGTGAGAAACCAAGCCACCATGTCCAGGACTCGAACCATGGTCAACCACATGGGAGTCCAGCACCGTAACCACCACACCACCTGCTGGTTCCCAGTGCTGGTAGGTTTTTATAGCCTTCCTTCAATCTCCTCTTCCCTGTCCTCCCTCTGCTCACCTGTCTCCTTCACGGTGGGCACTGCGTGGGCCTGGCTGGCTCCTTCCCCCCCCTCAGCAGAGGCAGGACCCTGTAATTCCCAGATGCCCCGGCAGCTGGGATCCCAGGTGGGACCTCGTTCCCCGCAGTCAGACGCTCCCCGTGAGGCAGGACGGCAGGAGGGACCTGGGAGCACAGCCGGGGCCAGAGTTGCCGAGCCCAGCTGTTCCGGCTGTTCTAGCGGTGACCTCGGGGCAGCCGCGTCCCTGAGCATCGCTCCTGATGAACCAGCCTAAGCTGGATACGTTTTCATTGTTTGCTACAGGGCACGCCTGAGACGGGGAGGGAGGGAAAGCGAGAAGCCACCCCCAGTGGGGATGGCCACGCCGCAATCCCTTCTCCTCCACTCTCCTCTTGGGAGTTCGGGTACGCACACGCACACAGAATTTTTTTTCAAGCCACTGGGTCTGGGACTTAAACTGCGGAGTTGGCCATGTGGGAGCCAGTGGCCTTAACCACCATGCCACCTGCAAGCCTGCCTTTTTACCCAGGAAAAAAACATTCGGCCCAGCGTGGAGGTGCAGGTGGTGGGGGCACGATGGGAGGGCTCCTGGTTTGCATCAGCGTCTACACGTGATCCTGGCTGGCCGCAAGCGGGGGAGGGGGGTATAGACAGTATGAGGACCTATGAAAGGTGCCCCCTTGCTGAGTAACAAATCCTCCAAACTGCACCGGACACTGGGGAGGCGGCGGGTTAGCAGGGGTGATGGTCGGGACGGAAACCGCAGCAGAGCTGAGCTCAGTGTTCACATTTGTCAGGAACTTTTCATTTCTTCATTTCTTCCATAAGCGAGACGGAGGCAGAGATGACCACCCTGCTAGCGGCCTCGACCACGAGCAGACACCCCGTGGACTCAGGGAGGCTCCAGGTGTGAACCCAGAACCCTGCCACGGCTTGGGCTTGGGCCGACACAGGTCGCGTTGTGCCGCCGCTCCGCTGGCTCCACGTGGGGAATCGTGCTGTCAAATGATAAACCACCCCAACGTTCTTAGGGTAACTCCACTGTGCCCACTTGTACCCAGTCACCCAGTTACGGACCCCCCGAGAACCTGGTGCTCTTGGAGAGCAGACCCAGTCGGAGGCGGCCAGCCACACGGACACCGTGCAGGGCGCCAGGCAGGGCACGGCACAGGCGAAGACCGTGGGGTGGAGCCTGCAGGGCACTGGGGAGCAGACGCACCCACTGGCCTGCAGCCAGGCTCCTCGGGGGTGCACGGGGGAGGCCAGGAGGCAGCGGCCTGTCGGGTGGGAGCCGCGGGGTGGGGTCTGAGTACAGAGCAAACTACAGGTCCTGACAGGGACTGTGCGGCTTCCGTGTGGGAGACTGCGGGAGCCGGCGGTGGGAGCAGGAGCCCGGGGAGGAGGCAGCCGCCCCGTCTGCTGTGCCCACGGGCCGGTCGGGCGCAGAGGGGCCGAGGGCGGGGTCGGCATCCCCCTTGACGGGGAGCTGAGACCAGGACAGTGGTGAGGACTTGCCGGCGAGGTGTCCTCGGTGAGCAGAGCCGCCTCCAACCTGGGAGTGCACGACCTGCAGACAGCGAAGCTGCGAAGCCCCACGTCCGGTTGGGGAGGTGGACAGATGAAGCACGAATAGCGAGATGGCTGCGGCACGGGGCAACAGCTGCCAGGCTAGCACGGGGCTACCCCACTCCAGCCGGCCGCCACGTCGGTGCCGAGGGCAGGACAGAGGGCAGG